CCGGGTACTGGGACCGGCTGAGCTTCTCTGCCCTAGGAGCCTGGGATGGAGGCGGGGAGCTTCCTTCTGAGTTCTGGGACTGGCTGAGCTTCTCTGCCCTAGGAGCCTGGGATGGAGGCAGGGAGCTTCCTTCCGGGTTCCAGAAACCTTGTTTTTGTTGATATCTTATTTTCTGTTTACTTGATTTTTTTCTCCTTCCTTTATCATTTTATTACTTTTACTTAACTTAGATTTTATCTGTTCTAGCATGAATATATTAAGTTAAAGCTTAGCTCACTGTTTTCTAATCTTTTTCTCTAATAGAGTCACTAAACCTGTAAATTTCCCTTTAAGTATCACTTAGTTCCCTTTAAGTATGACTTAGTTCTATCCCATGATTTTTGCTACTTATTGTTTTCATATTGTTCAGTTTTAAATGCAAGCAGTCCTTCCACTGCACAGTTCCAATATACAAAGATTTATATTGCCACATTTTTGTCAAATAGTATGAGTCTCCTAACAACATTTTCAAATTTCTGTTTTCATGGTAACATTAACCATGAATAACTGTATCAAGCACAAATGTGGTTGCTAGCTCTTCAGTCCACAAGCTATTACATGCATAATAGATCTATAATGGTCAGTGACCCATCATGTGATTCTTTTAAGTCTGTCAGTGACTGGTCACTGTGTGTTATTAATCAGCTCTCACACAGATGCGTGGCTGTGCTGTCTTATCTCCCAGTGATAAACCCATGTAACATTTTAGAAAAATGGATAGTTAAAAGTGAGAATTGGCTAACAAAGATCAAAATGTAGCAAAGAAATAAAAAGTGATAATGGTGAAAGGAAAATTGAATTGAACATAAATGAGTTATAGAAAAGACATTTGGGAATGATGACACTGTCACCATTCAAAAGACTTTAGATATGCAATCAGAGGAACATAATGAAGACAATCACATGGATGAAATGAGGAATGGGGTTGTGATGAAAAGGCTGAAAAAGTCCAAGAGGAGGTGATATAAGAAAAACATTTAACATTAAAGGATCTCTCAGAGATATTTTAGAATATTGAAAGTAACAAAGGATAAAATATTGAAAGCTGATTCAAACTTACAAAGGTATATAACAATCTGGAAAGGTACAGTAAAAATGATCACTCATATTGAAAGTTACTTGACAAGAAGCCAACACTTCATATTCTTGGCTAGTTTTCTTTTTAACAAAGAAAGAACTTTAGGAAAAAGAAGTAAAAGGAATAAAGATAGGAAAGGAAGAAGTTAAACTGTCATTATTTGCTGATGATATGATACTTTACATAGAAGACCCAAA